TTTTGGTATAAATATTGGGAAGCAAATCATCATTAGCTATCTTTACACATACCTTTATAGAATGATTGAAAATCATGTAAAAATGTTACTTCTCTGGAAATTTTTATCTTTCACATCTTAATGAGAATGAAACTACTTAATTACTATTCTACATAGTTTTCCTATTGACTACCCACCCACATTCCTTTCTAATAAGCAGTTAATGCATTCAAAGCTTTCTGATTGCCTTTAAAATCTAGTTTGAATACATCTTGACCTCCCAACGATAGCACTTGGTCTATTATACCCCGATTTGAGAGCCAAGTTATTAGCGTGTCTTTTACAAAGTTGTGACTTGCCTTCTTTGCTGCAGCTGCGCTAAAATTGCTGCTGTTGCTTACAGTTTTCAGTTTGTGTTGCAGTTGCAGTGGTTGCAGCCTTTGCCGTTGTTAATGTGAATTTGATTAAAACGAACAGGCTGCGAAATGCAGCTCAAATGGGGCGACGATTGTGTCGGGAGGCTTGCGCCCGGTTCGTTTTTTATTTTTTCCATTTTTCTTTTTAGGATCAGAGAGCAGATATCATTGGTGGTACCACTCACTTCACAACTTGCAACGCCACTCCAGCGCCAATTCAATTGCTTATTTACAATGTGCTAAAATTGTGTGCCCCGACAATTGTTCATTAAAAACTCGGCACGAAGTGATATTGATTTTGGTTGCCGTTCCCCGGCGTCTGTTTTTCTTTCATTTTTTTTTTTGCTGTCCGGTTTGTGGCATAATTAAATGTGGGCACAGCCGCAAGAAAAAGCACGCCAACTTATCGAAATAATAACATTTATTTTAAACCAATCCGGCCACGTCATTGCGATCACCGTTCCCCCGCTGGACTCCACGCCCAAGTCCAGTTTTTTTCTCTTTAAGTTCGATATCCAGTTCGATATTCGAGTTTCGAACTGCAGTTCCAGCTGCACTGTGGCACTTAAAATTTGCATTTCATTTGGTTTTTTGCTTGGGTTAAGGGGGAGGGGGTGTAGGAATGCAGCTGCAGCAATGTCTTGCCGCTATAATGATGACCTGACATTACTCATACGCCCCGCTAATCGAAAAAGTATCTCTTCTGTGAGAGTGCCATAAGTTTGCCAATTAGACGGCGGCAGATACCCCAAATGGCGATTGCAACTTGTTGGTGCCGGGAAAGTATGCACTTAAAAAATGTTTCAGTAACTTGAAACTATTGTAAGTCAGCATTTATATGGCTAAATGATAGGCTATAACTTAGCTTAAGACTTGTTTTTTATACCTTTATATAAACAAGAATTAAGATATAAGTCAACCAGTAAGAATTATATTTTGAAGTGTACCCCTTTGGTAACGCAAAACACCCAACTTGCAACTGGCGATTGTGGCATTCGTAATGAGTTCTGTGAGCCCAATCCCCCCTTTGTCGACATGCCAATTGTCGCCTGTCAGCGTCGCCTGTCGAGTGATAAGCCAAGTCGAGTGCTGAGTTTTTAGCCACCGGCGTTGGCCATCAGGCATATATATACACCATATACGAATGAGTATATACCAGAGAGATACCGATACCATTGGCCAGTTATCCGGTCTGCGGGGATTGCGAACTGCTGCGGCGGATTGCCGGCTGTCAGGCGATATCTTTGGTCCCTGGGTGTGGCATGCAACAGTCGACACGAGAAGTCAATTTGGCGGCCCCAACTGTTTCATTCCGTTTCGAATTCAAGCTTGAAGTTGTTTGAAGCTTTGTGGTTCCCACAAAAATACGCCCTTCGCGCTGACATAGAGACCTAAAAAATCATCATAAATGGATATGTTTCCACTTTCCACGCTCACTTTCCATTGACGGTAGCTGCCGCTGCTGCTGCGCCTCCGCCCAAACTCGATGCTTGCATTTTATGGAAATGCAACAATTAAGCAGAGCTTATGGAGGCAGCCAATCAACTGGGAACCAGCGAAGCCAAGAATTTTTGTGATTTGCATATCTAAGGCATTAACTGAATGACCGTTTGGTCTTTTGATGTCGCTTTGCATAGATTTCAGAGAACTCAACTATTTAGTTTCAGCTGCTCTTGTGTTGTTAGTTTTTACTCGATGGCAGCAAAGCATTGTTCAAACATTCATCTACCGTTAAGACAGACCAAGGGATATTATTCAAAGTGGTGGTATATGGAACTACAAATACTCTTTTAGGCTTTATAGGTATTTTTAAAGTATTATTTTAGTAATTTAGAAACATTTTACCATGGTCACATCTAAGATAAAAAAGGTTTGAATATAATTTAAAACACATTTATTCCATTAATTTTTTGTTTGATAGCAAAGTATATTTACTTATATTATTAATAGTATTTATTAAAATTATTTGTGAAATTATAATGCTTATATAACCCTTTTTCTTCATTTTACTTTCCTGTTATGGAAAGCCTTTCTTTCACAAACCTTTCCTCATCCATTGACCATGCTAATTAGCCCCATGTTGACTAGGGTACGAAGGGGAGACAATGTATTCAGTCTTTGCAGTTTGCTGAAAATTAATTAGACTCAATTTGTTGCTCAACCATCAAGACGGACAACAACAGCAACAGCAGCGGCAGCTGCATCTTGTTTTTTGCCGGACAAATTCTATGCTCATATTGTGTATGGCTTAGAGAAAAGATACGGGACAAAAAAAAAACAAAATGTTTGCGCTTACAATTCTCATGTAAATGCCAAAAGTTTCCACATTGTTAAAATGCGAGAAGGTAGTGGAGAGGGGAAAGGCAGAATGGTTTACTAAGTTAAACAGAGGCAAACGGTAAACATGTTGCTGTCAACATTTACATGCCAACATGTTGCCCGGCCACCATTTGGCGGCGATTAGAAAGCGCCGCCTCACTTTGTAAGGGGCTGGTCCAGCTGAGGATCATTGGGGCAAATTATTAACGGATACTTTAATGGAAAGATTGTGCTTTTCAGATAAGTATCTTCAAAATTGGACATCAATACTAGGATATTGATAGATTTAATATATCTTTTAGGTTTTAATTAACTATCAAAACTTCATATATCTGTAAAAATGGAATTCTTTCGTAACATTAAGGCCCTTAAAAGTAAACAGTTTTTTCTACCCTGTAAGTTTGCTTCACTTTTGGCGTCATTTATCAGAGCTGAAATGCAATCGGTGTGCAGGTGAAAAATAGACAGACAGTCAGACAACGACAAACTCGCGGACAACACAACTTGGCCACTTGTTATCCACTGCCATAGCCACTCGGAGCACTTCGAAACTGCAGCTCAAATAGCAGACTTATACAGATGTCAATTATTTTTGCCCGGAGCGGGAAGCTGACTGGCTCTTCTATTTCGATTTCGATTTAGTAGTTGAGCGCTAGCAATTTTGGATCGCCGTGGATTGGATTCGATTGGGGACGAAAATTGCTGGCCGAACTCGTTAGCTCGCCAAGTTGCCAGTTGCTAGCTAGTTGATAGTTGCAACAATCCATCCAGCTACGTGGCAAGTCATCCAATTGTTCGTTATTATTTGCGGACGGGAACACCGTAGATCTTTCTCCTTGTCCACACCAGTGGGGTTGCAAATTATAATTGAATGATTGCATGGCAGCCAAGCGATTTGCTCGTCATTTTCCTCAACGGGGGAAAAAAATAAGGATCAATTGATATTGATTGGGGCCCCTACTTAAAGGTAAAGGTGTCAAAACTATTGGCTCCTAATGGGGGAAATAAAATGGTAAAGCAATTTGGCCAGGCAAGTTCATTAAATTGGATCCAAAACTGAATGGCGAGCTAGCTGTTTGTTGTCAAACGTATCAACGGATTTCGACAAACGTATTTATTTAAAAGACAACTTGCAACAAATAAATAAGGCCAGCATATCCAGACTTTGACCAATGGAATGCTGCCCGTGTAGGAGAGACCACTTCGTTGTTGTCCTTCTCGTTTGACGTCCAGTAATGCGAATGGCTTGTTGAAATTCATTCATCAATGTAATCGATCAGACATGGACGACGGGCTTTGACATACCACGTAACATGCTCTTCGTATGTAAATGGAGCCTGGGAGAGAGATATATGCAACTCACAATGCAACATAAAATTTAATCAATTTATTGGAAACGAGCTATTGTCTTTGGTCTTTTGGTCGTCTTTTGCCTTTACAGCATGCCCCGACTTTTTGAGCCAACTCGACTCGACTTTTGAGGGGCTTATCCCCAGCTTTGCATCTACACTTTCTCCTCTCTCAGGTTGATATGCTATTTTCTTGGCACGAATGCTGGCAAAGGCCAAGATAAATCTACCAGATTCGTGTGGGGAATTGCGTTTCAGTTGGGCGGAACCACCGCACCCACATCCATCTAGTTGGCTGAGTTGTGGCTAAAGTTTGGCATTAGATTATGCATTTTCAATTTTCTGGATCTCAGCCAGAGGAGAAAATCTTGACAATAGTTTACATGAGTAGTTTCTTTTACACTATTTTACAAGTAATATAAATTGCATCTTATAAGGAGAATTCTACGGTCAAGTTTTGTCTTTCAATATTCGTTGTAGTATTAAAGTAATATAAAATAATTATTTCTCAAAAATGTATTTCAAAATATAAATAACACTAAATAACTGAATAAGTTTAGTTTATACTAAGATCTGGCATCTTTATTCAACGTGAGCCATTACAGCTAGGGTGTGCCCAGATGAGTGGTCAGAAAGAATACCAGCGCGGGAAAGGAGTAGTTTTCTTCGAGGAGCTTAAAGAGGAACAAGGATGGGAGAAGACGCTAAAGACGTAATAAATCAATTAAATTACTATTATTATTTTCATAAAATAAAATAATCAACCTACCGGGAAAACCAGTAAATTTCAATAAATTTAAATTGTATTAAGGCAAATGTAATGTTGATTGACTTATTACTTAAAAAAGTTGGCTTACAAATATAAATATTAATGTCAGTATATAAAACTACATAAGAATACTACAACACATAAGAATCTAAGAACTGAGCTTATATTATGGGTAGAAAAAGTAAGATCAAGCCTGTGCCGGAACCGATTCTCAGACTTCCCCTCATACCCGAAAGTGAAGTTGCGGACCGGGAAGCCAAGTACCTAATCCGTCTAAATGACTTTAACAATAGTGCGGATTTAGTAAAGCGTAAGCTGTGAAGTAACTCATTCAATATTAAGTAGTAAAAAATCCTATGCAGGTGCTCATAGAGACTTCTACGAACAGCAGGTTCACAGGGCAGGCCAGGAGCACTGGGAGCATCATTTGCGTTGTGATGGACTACCTCGTCCTTATCTGCCCGTCGAAGTGCGAACTTTTATATCGAAAATGCGTTTCTACGATGACGTTGAGTCCAAGAATTCAATAGACTGGACCTTGTCGATCGACGAGCGGTCGGTCTTGAATCAAAATATCTTCAGGGTGGACAAAACCCGACCAGCTATGAAGGTCAATAAGGATAATCCGGGCGTGCACTTTGATCGAAACGTTCAGATGTGTCTGGACACATTGAGACTTATGGACGTGATGTGGGACAATCAGGCTGAAGTGGTTCGAATGTCTGAAAAACGGCAAAAGGATGTCTTGGAAGTTGGTTATTAAAGTTAATAGCCTAACTGATCATTCAATATTTATCTTTTTGCAGGTTACTACCGAAGTAGAATTAGAAATCGATGATTTATTTGATCGTCTTACTTATAGAGTATTGAAAATGCAAAACTCGTATATGGAGTGAGCTTTGATTTAATATTTACGTTTTCTAAATACTTTCTTATCTTTCTTAGGTCTGAAGATGGCAGAGTTGCTGCGTGGAGCTACAAATGTAAGCCATGGAAAATTGATATGTGGGGTCTACTGAACGTTCCCATTATCTTTGATCAGTTGGAGTAAGTTGATGAGAGATCTTCCAACAGGATTTACTTTTATATACTCTTTAGATTGCCTGTTATGTTAGCTGAGCTTAAGGCTACAGGTGTTTCCGTTCAGATACCGAAAAGTGTTCTGCAAGATTGCATAACCCTACGTAGTTTACATACGGATTTCGACAACATCTCGCAAAATGCAAAAAGTTTCGAAACAGCAGTATCTGGATCGGTCAATTATCCCACCGCTGGAATAGTCGATATAGAGGATTCGGTGATTAACGAGTGGCAAATGCAGCTGGAACTCCAAGAGGAGACCTTGAATTTGATGTTGAACAGGCGAAGGGAGTATGAGGAAATGATGCAGATCATTGCTGAGAAAACGGAGGCGGCAGCCAAGGCGGCTAAGGCGGGTGATGAGAATGCAGTCAAAGTTGTAATACCAAAAGCTCCAAAAGAGCCACCATATGTTCCACCTAACATGTACCCCGATATCTATGCCGATTTTTTAAGAATGGAGGATAGCCAGTATTTAGGGTACTTCGATGAGGTATATCATCCCAGGCATTTAGATATCCAGCCATATGAGGTACGTAATTAATCATTTTGTTTACGATATGAATAACCCATTTTCCTCAGATTAATCTCAGGGAGTGCATCATGCTTGGCGGCATCTATGCTATAATGTTCATACGACGGCCTGACCAAACGCAGTTTCAAAAGTTTAACATTATTTTGCATGAGGATGGTCGGGTGCTTCATACCATGCCTGAAATAAAGGCCCAAACAGGGGACTTTCGCAAATCGAAGATACCCAGAATGACCAGGGAGACGTATCGTGGCACAAAGATCAAGTTAGAAGATGACGAACTACCATATTTCATTGTTACCCTTCAGTTGGCACCAGATCTTTGCAAGTGGAGTGAGCCTGAGGTTTGTCATTATATTTCGGAAACGGAGTTCGTTTCGATCGATTCTAAACGTGAATATGTTTGGAGACCAACGATGCAAAGTTCGATCATAAATAGGTCATCGGAAATGAGTATGAGCGTTTTGGATAGTTCCATCGTACGCGAAAGTCGACATTCATTAGAGTCAGCGAATATATTTCGACCCACTCTTCGGTCATTCCTCAGACAAAGTAAAATAGAATTCTCACAGGGAAACCAAATTGTTATGGAAAACTTTAAACTGCAGAAGAAATTAAACAACGTGGAGATTAGAGCCTTGGAAAGACATGGCATACCGCGTATTATCTCGTCATTTAGGTTTCCCGTAGATTTTTCCGATGCCAAGCGAGAGGGGGTCAAAACGGGAGCAAAGGGTTTGGTCAAGCGTCAAGAAATAGAAGAAGCTACTATTACACAGCCTAAGACCTTAGATTTTAATTTTGAAGCTCAGGTTAAACATCCGGAACGTGTATTTGTCTATTTACCACCCGTTAAACATGTCGGAAATCCCGAACCACTCGATGATTTGGAACCAGAACCTCTTGACAATACTACAGCGCTTGGACTTTTAAAAACCTTTGACGACATTAATATGAAATATCGTCAATTACCGATTGATTTCTTAAGTCAGCCAGACGAACCTGATAAGAAAAGATCACAAAGAAAGGAAGTAAGGGAAGAACCAGAAGAAATACAAGAAGTACAGACAGTAAAACGCAAGTCCGAAATGAAAAAAAGAAGTGGTAGCAAGCATGGACGAGTCAGTAGCGACTTAGGAGAGAACTTTGAGGAGCAATGGGAAGAGCGCGATGTGACCCATTGGACCACAAAGTACATTAAGAACCCTGAAGTTGACAGAGAGCGTAATATTGTTACCTTTAAAACAGATCGCTTGGGCCTTTTTGGATTGGCCTTCAAGCGATACGAGCATTTTCCCTTTCGTGAATGGTCCTTGCAGCCAAGTGAGGATAAGTATGTATGTTAATATTCAAAATTTTCAATTTTCTTAAAAAAATTTCATTTACAGTCCGGATGAGATCATTCTAAGCGTCGATACCTTCCATGTACGTATATTTTTCTATATTACAGCCAAAGGAGTGCGGGGCTATGTAACTGATCTGAGCAAGGGTTATGTAGCTAAGCCTGTGAAATATCTAGAGATTGTAGAGCCCATATCAGACTTTAGTCAAATGCGGCAGGTGAGTCTTTACAATAGGTTGACACAATATTTTAAGCCCTTTTACCTCCCACAGATATTCATTAAGAAGAACATCAATATCTTTGCCGAGAATGATGCTAGTTACTATATCGAAAATGGTTACTTCTCCATCAAGCACGTGGCTCTGGAGATGCACACCTACGACATCATGGCTTTGCATTGCAAACTAATGAAGTTCTATCGATCAAGTTGGAATCGATTGGCCTCGCGAAGGGACATTATTATGGGCATGAAGATTGCAAAAGATAATTCAGATTATAGCGAGGTTACAATGCGAATTACACCCGAGAAGACGAACTTTGTTAATATTACAGAAAACTGCTCGGATAAAGTGAATGTGATTGAGCTTACCTATACTGACACTTGGCGGAATATCAGTGTAAGTTTGTGTTTGTGCTCTGAACTTAACTAAGATAATGTGATTAAAATGCTAAAACATAGAACTTTACGGATCTGCACCAGGCCATAAACTCGATGGTCCTTAATGCCACAGAAATGCGGAATAAGGACTCCATTCTTCTTTCGTATGTCACGCGAATGCTAAAGGAAATAAGGCTACTAAGCTATTCATGAAATTTCTCTATACTTTGTAAATTCCTATATCCTTATATTGAAAAAACCCTTGAATTTTTTTCTAAAAAAATTAATATAAATATATATTGATTAAGTGAAAGAAGAATATCAAAGATCAATTCCGCGAAACAGTATTCTTTTATTCTGTTACTTTTTGAAATCAATTTTCTTTGCATATACAATCCTTGTTTCATATTTCAGACGAAAACATATACTCAGCCATAAAACAACATACAGAAACAGACATATATAAAAAAAAATATATAAAAACTCTTTAGGAGGATATTAACACTGGGATTTTGGCAAAATGGTTAAGGAGGTCAAAACGGATGCATCACATACCGAGGCAAGCGGTTTGATAAGCGAGGCCGAAATGATGGAGCGACAAAAAGCATACTTAACTCGACTGCATGATGTTTCTGCCGCCTGTCAGATTTTCAAAAGTGATTATCATCAAAAAATATATATCAATAAAAAATAAAAATCTCTATTTTTTAGAGGCACTCGCTCAGTTCCGAGATCTACAGGAAGATCAGACGTTTCAGGACCGATGGAATCAGTATCTTCGTTGTGATGGCTTGCCCAAGGTTCGATCACCAGTCGAGATACGAACCTTCTTGGCCAAGATTCATCATTTCGAACAAATCGAAAACGATAACTCTATTAACTGGACTTTGGGAGTAGATGAGCGTAGTATCTTGTCACAAAATATTTTCCAACAGGATCTAACGCGAAAGACTTTGGAAAAGTCGAGTACCGATAATCCTGGTTCATGTTTTGAGAAGAACATAAAAGACTGTCTGGAGGTCTTGCGTTTGGTGGATATTTTAATGGACAACGAGGTGGAAATGGAGCGCTTAGAAAAGAAAGTACAGATAGATCTCATGGAGGTTTGTGCTACTGACAAAAAGATTGCTTAATACAAAGAGTTGTCTACAGGTTTATGAAGAAGTCCAGCGTGAGATCGAAAGCCTCTATGATCGGCTCACTTATCGGTTACTGCGCCTGCAAAACGTCTATATGCGGTAGGTCGTTAAATTCGAATATCTCCTGTATAAGTTAACAATAATTATTTAAGATCATATGATGGGATAGTGGGTAGGTGGAGCTACTCATGTGATCCGTGGCGCATGGATCTGTGGGGTCTTTACAACGTTCCAATAATCTTCAAGCAATTGGAGTAAGTTTTTCAGGAATCTTTCTTGAACGAATTTTAGTTTCCACAAATCTTTTTTACAGGGTTCCCGTCATGTTGGCCGATTTTGAGGCCACTGGTGTTGAGGTTCAGTTACCAATGAGTGCCCTTTGGGATTGCGTTACCCTTCGATGTGTCCACACCAGTTTTGATCATCGTTCAGAGCACGCTAAGAGCTATGAGGTACAGGTTGTCGACTCTTCCTTTATTCCCAATTCTGGAATAACCGATATGGAGGAGTCAGTGGTTGGAGAATGGTTAATGCAACATGACATACAGGAGGAGGTTTTAGATAAAATGAATCAAAGGCGATTTGATTACGAGGAGACAATGAGAATCATTGCCGAGCGGACCGAACAGGCTGCCAAGGAGGCCAAGTTTAACAAATCTGGCGAGAAGAGTGCTAAGATTATCATTCCTAAGACCCCCAAGGTGGTACCCTTCGTACCGCCAGGAATGTATCCCGAAATATCTAAAGAATTTCTAGCTCGCGAGGATGATCAATACCATAGGTTTCTGGACACCTTTTATAATCCAAGTCTTCTTAACCTGTCGGCCGAGGAGGTAAGCAATCCTCTATTATGGTATTATTAATAAATGACTTACTAAAAGTATCTACCTAAACTAGATAAATCTCAGGGAGTGTATTATTATTGGCGGAACGTATAATATATCATTTGTGCGACGACCGGATCAAACGCAATATCAGAAGTTCAATATAATCTTGCACGAAGATGGACGTGTTCTGTATGTCGTACCTGATGTAGTGGCTGACGCTGATGACATACAAGTATCCCGCGTTACTGAGTTCACTAGAATGACCTTAGGTGCCACCCAGATGAAGTTGGAAGAAAACGAGCTTCCTTTCTTTGTGGTAACCGTGAAATTGTCACCAGATCTCTGTAGATGGGGTCAGCCCGAGGTTTGTCAGTATTTGAAAGAGGTGGAGTCACCACCACACACACCGGAGAGGAATACTTTGGTAACGCTTAATTTAGTTGATAACCATCGAATAACATCTCAACTAATCCAAAGAGATGATTTAAATTCGCGATCAATGAGCACCAATCTATTCCAACCAAATCTGAAATCTATCATAAAGCAAAGTGTTATCCTTGCACTGGAAAAAAGGGAAAAAGGAAAATCTATCAAAGATTTTTCGCTAAATAAGCCTTTAAATAAGATAGAAATGTTAAAGTTAGAGAAAGTGTGCATACCACGTATAATTTCGTCATTTAAGCTACCATCGGAATTTACTGAAGACTTTCTAACAGCAGAAAGCTTAAAGGCAAGGCCAAATCGTTTAGTGAAAAGACCTGAAACCGAATTGACCGTGGATGTGGAACTTAAACCGGAAAACTTATCCTATGAATCACAGGAAAGACCAGAAAGGATGTTTCCTGTTTTTGAACATGTAGTTCCTGTGGATTTCATTCCTGCCGACGATACGCTAACCTTTAATTCTGCTGATTTAACAACAGCATATGGATTGTACACCACATTAGAGAATATTAAAAGGAAGTACGTAAAGAGACCTCTGCAATTGGTAGGTCAAACCGAACCCGTGACCAAGAAGGATAAGTCGGAAAAGGTAGATACAAAAGTTATAGAAACCAGAGCAAGTACTAGGGCATCGAATGTAATTGATAAAAATCTAAGCAATGCAGAACTTGTTTCCCTAAAGAGTACATCAGATGTTAAGCTTACAAATTTTGGATCGAATGTTAAACTTAAAAAAATTAGTATAGTAAATAAAACTACAGAAAATGCGCCGCCGAGACGAAGTGGTTCTGTAATGAGGCGGCGATCGTCGAGAAAATCTGCCAAGTTAGAAGAACTGAAGTTGGCTCCTAAAAAAGAAAAGGCACCACCTGTTGTACTAGAACATTGGACTAAAGAACATATTATAGAATCGAAGATTGACACGGAGACTAGTACACTAACTTTTCGGACAGATCGTTTGGGCATTTTCGGTTTGGCTTTCAAACGATACGAGCACTTTCCTTTCCATGATTGGAGTTTGCAGCCAAATGATGAGAAGTAAGTTGTTAGCTTTTTATCCCTGAAGATTCACTGTAAATCTTATTCTTATACTTGCAGTCCAGATGAGGTAATTTTCTCATTGGATACCTTCCATGTGCGAATGGTTTTCTACATCACAGCTCAGGGAGTGCGTGGTTATGTCACTGATCTTAGTACGGGATATGTGGCCAAGCCAGTAAAGTATCTGGAGATTGAGGAACCTATTTCCGACTTCCGTGAATTTCGAAAGGTAAGCTTATTAAGAGTCTTTAACCCATTTATTGTTTGAACTCTTTTGCAGTTACTTGTGGCAAGGAATTTGAATATTTTTGCTGAGAACGATGCTCAATATTACATCACAAACGGTTATTTCTCCATCAAACATGCGGCCACTGAGATGCACGCTTACAATACCATGGCTCTGCAGTGTAAGCTGATGAAATTCTACCGATCCAGCTGGAATCGACTGGCCTTACGTAGGGATGTCATCTTGGATATGAAGATTGCAAAGGATAATACGGATTACTCCGAGGTCACAATGCGTATTACACCTGAGAAGACCACTTTTGTCAAAATCTCCGAGCTGTGTTCGGATGATATAAATGTTGTTAAACTTCGCTATGAGGAAACTTGGCGGAATGTCAATGTGAGTAACTTTTATCTTTCACCTTAAGTTTGCTTATAACTTTGCCTATGAATCATAGAACTATAATGACTTTGGTCAGGCCATTTATTCATTAAATCCCCATACCCTAGAGGGTGCTAATAAAGACGCAATGCTATTCGTCTCCATTAAGAGGCTTCTAAATTGTATTCGTCCTTTAAGTTACTCCTAGGATTCTCGAAAATTCTGTGTAAATTTTACTATAATTCATATATTCGATCAAAAGTGATTTTTACAAAATGACGTTGATGTCAATTAAAAACTGACACAAGGACACAAACACACACAAAACACACAAATAAATAATAAAAAAAAAAAAACAAAAAAAAAATGGTAAAAAGGAAAAGCAAGGAGCTAGGAGCTCACAAAAACAACGTAGAACTTCTTACGGAGGATGAGTGGATGCAACGCAAAAATGTATATATGCAGCGTTTGACGGACCTTCGGACAAGTGCAGCCTTCATTGAAGGTAAATTATAGAAAATGTATATCTTTGTTAAAATTTCTAAAATTGTGTTTCCTTAGATGCCACCCACGAGTACAAGGAACTTCGGAAACAGCAGATGGACGGTGAAAAGTGGAACACTTACTTAGCTTGTGACGGTCTGCCAGATCCTAGTCGTCCCGACGATATTCGAAAATTTGTCCATCAGCTGAACTTTTTGGAAAAAGAATCCTGCGCTAAAGATATAAGCTGGGCTCTTCCCGTCGACGAGCGAAGTATATTGTCTCACGCTCCTGACCGTAAGGATATGACTAGGAGAAACTTGGAAAAAACTAGACCTAACATGGTCAAGCTCTACGATGATACGGTGCAACGTATTCTAGAAACAATTAGCCGTGTAGAAAGAGTCCTTCGCAACGATGATGAGCTACTGGACCTGCCAACTACTCAAGCACTGGATCTTGCTGAGGTAAGAAGTTTCTGTAAATGAGATTAGGTTACTTTACTTTTTTTTAGATACCCGCGGAACTTCATGGGACACTAGATAAGTTTTTTGACAAGCTAACTTATCGCGTAATTTGCTCTCCCGAAGCATATATGATGTAAGGCTATCATTAAACATATTTATATAAATTGATTTTGTTTATTTCTTAGAAATAAAGGTAGTTTACTATCGAATTACTGCTACAACTGCAGCAACTTTGACCTACAGATATGGGGACTGCAGGATGTCCCGATTCGTTTTAACTATATGAAGTAAGAGATTAACTTTATTTTGATTAACTGATATATTTTGAATCTTTCCTTCTAGGCTTCCGCTTATGTGTTCTGATCTGAACTGTGTTGGAGTGACTCTTCAACTACCGCTAAGCGTGCTCTGTGATAATCTGACCCTGCGCTGTGTCCACACTTTCTTTGATCCTTTCTCCCAGCTGGCCAAAAGCTCTGAGCTGGACATCACAGGGTCTATGACCCCAAACTGTGGCCTCGTCGACATCGGAGACAGTGTAATGACCGAATGGATGACCCAGATGGATATACAGGAGGATCTTATGAATCAAATGAGCCTGGAAATGCAGAAATACGAAGAGGGCATTGTGTAAGTATAGTTTTTTTGGATTAAGATTGCGATCATCTATTAATAATATCTGGTGTCTTTTAAGAGCGTATGTAGAAGCAGAGGCAAAACGAAAAAAGGATCCGGAAAAGTCAAAAAAGAAGTCCACTCTAAAGCCACCAAAAATGCCACAAGAACTTCCTATTGGCATGTTTCCCGATCCCTACAAGATATTTTTAGAGCACGAAAAACGAGATTGTACCGACTTCTTTAAACGGAATTTCCATCCAGACCAGCTAAACCTGCTGCCTTTTGAGGTAACTATGTGATTTGGTTATATAAATATGTTAATTATACATAAACTTATAGGTTAACAATCGTAAATTCATCATCATGGGTGGCGTCATCTCTTTGGTCTTTGTGCGAAAGGCCAAGCATACCGCCTTTGAGAAATTCAATATAACGTTGCATGAGGATGGTCGAGTTTTGCGTAAGGAGCTAGATGTTTTGGATGAATCTCATAAGGAATTTTTGTCCACTAAATTTAGCACCTTGCCAAGTCCTAGTCATCCCATTGATCTTAATACGGAAGATGCCTCTGAGTTTAAGCTGCACTTGGAACCAGATGAGCTACCCTTTTACTTTCTTACCTTCAAGATGCCGAACCATTTGTGCGTATGGGGAGAACCCATGGCCTGTCAATTTGTTCAGCATGTAATCGAAAGTCAGCAGGTTGTTGAGAATATATTGGAAAAATTGGATAAGAAGAAAAAGCCGATGCGAAAGAATTTCCGTAAATCAGCAAGCATTTTGCCAAAAGTATCGACACCCGCAAAGGCTGCGAATGTGCCAGATGAAAATGTAGAGGAAATGCCTAAAACAAGATACCATCAGCCGGCACTACAAAGTTCACTCAACATTTATCGACCTTCAGCTTTGGCCATTATGCGACAAAGTCTTTTGGAACCAGGTCAGGGTTATCAAAATCCAATTAAGAACGTTGACCTGAAAGGTGTGCCACTGACAAAGACGAACCTCGAACTACTTCGGAAGCACTGTTTACCTCGTATCATATCCTCATTTAAATTTCCAAGGGAGTTCGTTAATGATGAGTTAGAAGAGCAGGCCATCAAGAAGCCAGCGGCTTCAGCCCAGCTTTATAGAAGGCGAGGCAACGATTCTGCTCTGTCGGAACAAATCAAGGATCATGTCTTTAGCTATGAGGAGCAGTCTCTTCCCGAGCGATTTTATCCTGTGTTCCCAACCATGGAACCCCTTCAACTTGGCCTTGAACGTAGTACCAAAGAGGATACTTCTATGTATGGACTTTTTAGGACATTGGATGATATTAAGGATAAATACGAGGATGCTCACAAAAAAATTGATGACCAGACTGTTCACACTGTCAGAATGAGTAGACGTTTTCATCCGGAGCCTAGTACGCCGAGTAGAACTATCCGCCAGGGTTCATTCTCACGACGGTCAACTAGACAATTCGGATTGGATGTTGGCGGTATAAGTGAAATGCGACTGGCGGAAATTGAGTACGATCCCAGCATAACAAGTGATTCTGAGCCCCAACGAAAGATAAGGAAAAATGATAATTTGCAATTGGGAACCCCTCGGAGTTCCGAACCCAGAAAGGTCTTCCTCTGGTCCACTGAATTTATCCTGGAGTCAGAGTACGATAAGGAGAGTAAAGTACTTACTGTTAAAACGAATAGATTGGGAAACTTTGGTTTCGCCTACCTGAGATACACGCATTTTCCATTTCGTCACTGGGAACTGGAGAAGAACGAGGAAAAGTAAGATTTTAATTTTAAATTTTTGAAAATAAGATATTAATAGATATTAACTTTTTAGTCCGGATGAGCTCGTCTTAACCCTGGACACCCACCATGTTCGTGTTGTCTTCTTTATCAGCAAAGATGGGTTCCGATGTTATGCGATTGATATACCCAAGGAGTATATTGCCAGGCCGTATAGATATATAGATATAGAGAAACCTATTGCAGATTTCGTCGAGCTTCGCAAGGTTTTTTAGTGATTGATGTTATTTTTTTTATTAATTTCTTAATAATACTTCTTAACAGCGTCTTCAGGATCGTAATCTGAATGTTTTTGCGGAACAGGATGCTTGTTTCTACATCGATCAGGGATATTTCTCGCAAAAGCACTTGGCGGCTGAGTATCATATCTATGATGTGATGACGGTGCACGCCAAGTTGATAAAGTTTTCCCACAACCAGTGGAATCGCCTGGCCGCGGAACGTGATATAGTGTTATGCCTGCGGAATATCAAGGATGTGCATGAAGCATCGGAGGTTACGGTGCGTGTAACACCAGAAAGCTCTACTTTCGTAGAGATTTCGGAGTACTGTACTGATGATCTCAAGACAATAAAACTGAATTATAAGAAGACCTGGCGAAATATTGGGGTAATGATTCCTAAATATTTAAAAAATATACAATAATACTATTACCTTTTAGACCTATTCGGATCTGCATCAACTGATCAACTCCATGTACCCACATGCCACGGATATGCGTAATCGTGATGCCAACCAGATGTACTATCTTCGTCAGCTCCTTCAGGAGATCCGACCTCTGAGCTTTTCCTAGAGCTGGAGATGCTGCTTAATTGAAAACTACCAAACAAACACAAACCACAGCGTACACTTTCAAATTAACAGCAATTAAACTCAATTGCCGTTTAACAAAGTCTTTAGAAAATTCCATTGGTTTAGCTTAAGTGGCTTCTCCACGCTTCAATAGTGGTGTGGGTTAGAAGTTTTCTTCGTTTTTTGCTCTCCATCCCTCGAATACAATGCAACCCCTGCTAGCTTGGTGGATACTGGTTGCTACTCTATTCACGATGGATGCCTTTGCCAACGGTTTTAACCAATCCATCGATTTGGAAAAGTTGGCCAAAGTGGTATTACCTCCTAGATTTCAAACTCGCGTTGTCGGCGGTGATGTGACCACAAATAGGAAACTGGGAGGTTATCTAATCGCACTGCGCTACAAAAACGAATTCATTTGTGGTGGCACTTTGCTCCATGACCTCATCGTCCTGACAGCAGCCCATTGTTTTCTAGGTCGGCTGACCGTTGGCGATTGGTTGGCAGTCGGCGATACCTCGAAGCTCACTGACCGAGGTATCCAACGTAAAGTCAAGGATATCATCCAGTCTGTCGAGTTTCGTGAAAACGACATGAACATGGATGTAGCCATATTGCGACTAAAAAGTCCCATGAAGGGCAGACATATTGGAAAGCTATCGCTGTGCACTAGCACTGTTAGTCCAGGAGTTGAGCTTGTGGTATCCGGCTGGGGCTATACCGATGCCAAGTCCAGTGGCACACAGAAACTATTGCGTTCGGTTACAGTTCCGGTGATTGATAAGAGAATATGTCGGGCATCCTATTCGCCAACGGGTGAGTTGAAATCTTCTTTTAAAATTATTAAGATTAACTAATTTTTTGTCCAGTTAACTTGACAGACAGTATGTTTTGCGCCGGAGTCCTAGGAAAGAAAGATGCATGCACCTTTGACTCTGGTGGTCCGTTGGTTCACAAAAAGGAAGTCTGTGGTATTGTGTCCTTTGGCATCGGATGTGCCAGCAAGCGTTATTACGGCGTCTACACTGATGTCATTTATGTAAAGCCCTTTATCGAGCAGAGCATGAAAATATTGCTAGGAGGCAGATAAATAAAATATTACGATTATTATTATAATTTGGTTATACCATGAATTTGATTTGGTTTCGGACTATTAACTTTCGCCACACTTATAGGCTTCCCTAGTAGCTGATCTTTTTGGGCCAAGTCATTTGATTTTCCGACTGCGATGAAAAGGGTTCTCGTCTGCTGTGTGCTCGTCGCTGGACTAAATTTGATCTATGTTCATGGCAATGAACAGGAACATATCGCTGCCCAAAACCAGGACCACAATGAAACAATCGATCTCGATAAAGTGGCTCAAATAGTTCTACCTCCGTCGCATGAGACTCGCGTTATTGGCGGACATGTAACCACAAATGAAAAGCTTGGAGGATACTTAATGGCATTATTCTATGAAAATGATTTTGTCTGCGGTGGAACTCTACTACACGAACTAATAGTTCTAACGGCGGCTCACTGCTTTCTGGGCCGGATGAGGAGTAAAGATTGGATTGTCGTTGGATCGATGTCGCGACTTGATCAAACCGGAATACGTCGTCCTATTAAAGAATTTATCCTAGCTGATAAGTTTCGGGAGACTGACATGAATATGGATGTTGCATTGATGTTGCTGAAAACTCCAATGACGGGAAAGAATATAGGAAAACTAAAGCTGTGTACGAAAGATCTCAAGGCAGGCGTTAAGCTGAATGTTGCCGGTTGGGGAATGACCGTGGTCAAAGGTCGTGGGCCAAAGACTTTACTACGTACGGTCACAGTGCCAATTATTAACAAGAAAAAATGCCGTGCTGCCTATCAGCCAACGGGTATGTAATAATATAATATCATAATATTCAATAATTTAACATATTTACTTTATATCCTATAGCTAACATAACAGATAGTATGATATGTGCTGCAGTTCTGGGAAAGAAAGATGCATGCACCTTTGACTCAGGTGGCCCAATGGTGTACAAGAAGAAGCAGATTTGTGGCATTGTGTCTTTTGGCATTGGATGTGCCAGTAAACGTTATCCTGGCGTCTATACGGATGTCTTTTACATGAAGCCTTTTATTGAGCAGACTATGAAAGTATTGCTGGCGAAGTCTTAATAAAGAAGTTTTTCTTCTTCCCCGTTAAATTGCTTTTCCTCACTTACCTTACTATTTTAACAGATTTCTTGGCATGGCTAATTTGGAATTTAACGCCTTATTAATATTAAGCTACTAGTACTTAGTATAAAACTTAAAAACTTAAGATTTATTTGCAAGGTTTGGATTGGTATTGAACACTGGATAGACATAAAGAGATTTTTTGAAGGCAGAAATGTCCTTAATGTGTGAAGGGTTGTCACTTTCTCCCAAAAACTCTAGTTTGATTTTTTCAGTCATGGGCTGATTTACACCTTGTCCATCATTTAAGTCCATCAAAGATCCTGAACGACTGGATACTTCCGAATTAGCTTGGGTTGTTGAATTCGAGGGCTGAGTATGCTTTCCCACAACTTGCACGGAGAGTTTTCTTAGATTATTTTTATCATAATCATTTAGGAAATTCAGAACATCTTCTTTTGTTAAATTCTGAAGAGTTTGTATTTGCATTTCCATGCGATTAAAGAAATATTCTTTGGTAACGATTTCACTCCAATTTCTCATGACTTCCTCATCCAAGCTAGTGTCGCCAAGTCTCTTCCCACTTATTAGAGTATCCCGAATACCCTGAAACTCCTCATCACTCATCTGTGAGACGAGATCAGACATTCGAGACCTAAAGGTTTCCAGACGCTCCTCAACATAGTCAGCCTTATGCTTAGTCTCTTGGGTGTTTATAGTGATTACAAAAGCCATGACGCCATAGCCAATCCGTTGATGTATGCCCAGACTGTAACCAAGTTGCTCTTGAGTTCTTAATTGGTTGAAAAATGGCTCCTCCACTATTAACTCTACCAGATCCATTATGCATTCCAGTTTCAAATCACTAGGTCCTATTTGATAGTAATTTGTAATAATGGTATTCGAATCGCCTTCATTAAGCGTTTTGGCCCTTAGATAATGTGAGCCCAGAGGAATTTGTAATAAGTTATTATCTAATGCTGATAGATTTTCCACTTTTTCACTGTTATATGCTGCTAGAATTTTCTGCATTAAGTCTTTTCCTTGATCTTCAGTGAAATTTCCTTGCATTAAGCCTTTTATATACATTCTTTTATGAAAATTCTCCTTAAAGCTTTTGATGTCATCTATTGTTATGGCATCAATGGCCTCATATTTCGATATCATGGTAAAGCGTTGATTTTCCAATACGCTTAGACGTAAATCCATGTTGAGAGTTTTTCCGTTAATCAGAGCATTATATATTTGCCGCTTCTTAAGATCCTTAAACGAGTTCACCTGATCCAAGTCCAGTTCTATGGTTTTCATCATATTTAAAATGATTTCTATCAAGAGGGGCAGCTTTTCATTGTAGCCACTAACTCGCATGACCAAGCCTTTATCACCAATGTAAAGACCATAGGTTAATCCTGCTTCCAAGGCTGGATACAGCTGCTCAGCTATTGTGAACTCTACTAAATAGGTATAAAGTACACCTAGCATATACTGTTTAACACTCTCCTTTACCAGAGGTGTTATAAAGTAAAGGTTAATATACCCATCGGGTAGTTGAAAAATGTTATCCTGGCGAAACCACAGTTCACATAAATCATTTCTGACCAGAGCTTTGGGACTTCTTGAGATATGTGGTTTACCCGCTTCTATCCAATGAAGTGTAAAATCAGTTGTTACGAATGGATTCGGTTCCGGATAATGTAATTCCTTCAATTCGGCTGGTTGTTCCCACATGCTGATCCATTTTGAAGGCATGGCAACGGTCTTGTATTGAGTGCCAAACCATGGTTCCTTCTGATCGTAATCATTTCCATTAAACGGCATATACGAAGTGATCATTATATTAAAATTAAATTTATTTAAATGCTGTTTTAGAAGCTCTATATCGGATTCATCGTATTGGAAATAAAGCTGAGTTCCTGTGAGAACATCTTTCGATGGCAGTTTATTGTAGTTTTCAACAATGCTTTGAACATTATCAATCGAAGGCATTTCAATTTGAAATCGAAAATTATTATCAGCTATTTGTTGGAATTCTTTGTAGGAAGCCGACAGCTTTTCGCTATTGATTATGAGTTTTATCCAGGTAAATGTAGCCTCTAAGACATCGTCCAGGTGATCAAATCCATCGTCAGTAAGGTAAATACATATATTAAACAAGGAGTATATCGAGTTTGTATCAAAACTACTTCCACCAACTCCTGCCATTACGCTAATACACCAAAGACGACGTCGTAGATAGGAACACAGGCTGCCTACTCCTTCGTAGCCAAGAAGTTGGGAAATAAATGAATCCGGTTTACTGCGATAAAAGTTCATCATTGGTGGCAAAACCCAGGTGAACTCTATTTTGGAAACATCTTCAACGGGTTGTACTAGAAACAAATCCCTAATGAACTCTTCTCTAAAAGCAGTTTGGTAATTAAACTTGGCTATATCGATGGCATTCTCCTGGCTAGTGGGTATATCTGAGCAATGTCGTTTGAGTAATTCCTCCAATTCATCTAGGGAAAGCTGAGCTTGAATTGCTACTACCATTCGATTAGAGCCATAATGATTACGGCAAAAATTGTGAAGTGCCTCGTGCAACTGCCCATCATCAACGCCCTCTTGAAGCGACTTAAAATTACCCCAGCTAAAGGTGCCATGTGGATACCCATCAGTAGCAAAGCTGGCCAAAATCTGATCTCTACGAACTTCATCACTCATGATGGTCTGTTCGAACTCCGATTGTACCGCAGATCGTTCACGATTCATGGCATCTGGGAGCATCAATGGAGCCTTTATCAAATTCATAAATAAATCCATGCACTTGTCAAGATGATTTTCATCCACCTCAAAGTAGAAACAAGTCTCCTCATTTTCAGTATGGGCATTACTAAAGCCACCGCTTTTCGTTACAAACGAATCGAATTCATTCTCAACAGGAAACTTCTCAGATCCCATGAATATCATATGTTCCACAAAATGAGCTAATCCCTGGTATTGTCGAGGTTCACTAAATGATCCAACACCCACTAGTACAGCACATGCAGCTAATTTACCTTGAAAATGCTCAATTGATGAGGTTATACTTTCGCTGGAAACTTGAGGGATTGATGGTTCTTCATTATGAGGATCAGATATTAGAATGGCACGTAATCCATTTGATAAGCTCAAGGCACGATAAAGCTTCTTGTCACCATCTGATTTGTCGGGTTCATCGTGATATTGGACCACAATTGAGGCTGTACTTATAGTACTACGATTTAGCCACTTATTAAACTGTTTTGTAAATCTATTTATACCAAGGAGCGGCTTAAAACACATCCTCAGTGCATTAAGTATAATTTAAAAATTTTGTTATTTTCTTTAAAAGTGTCCATAATGATTGTTTTTGACTTCTGAGACTAAGCACGTTGGCTGACTTATCATTAGAGAAACTATATTGGATAAAATAATCTTTAAAATTACTGAGTTAAGAGTATAGATACTTCATCCTAAAAAACGTTATGTTATTCTAATGATATGGTTTTAATATATCGATTGGCTTTACTTAAAAGTCTTTCTTACGGTTAAATGGGGATCAGTTTTAGATCTTATATTTATATCCATTTAGTGATCGCAATGCAACGTCTCCTGGTTCTCTGTCTGTTGCTTGGCACCACTCACCACTTAATTAATATCCACGCCCAAAAAATCAACGAAACCGTCGACTTTGCTAAGTTGGCCAAAATACTAAAAAAGCCTGCTTTCCAGACGCGTGTCATTGGTGGTCATGTGACGACTATTGAAAAGTTGGGTGGATACCTAGTAGCAATGAAATATTTAAATTCTTTTATATGCGGCGGAGCTTTAATTCGGGATGTAATTGTCCTAACGGCAGCCCATTGCTTCGAGAACCGGAATACTAAGGAAAATTGGAGCATACATGGTGGCATCTCGAGACTCAGCGAGTATAGAGTTCTTCGTTTTATTAAGAAAATCATTAAGTCTGCAGATTTTCAAATGCATACCATGAACATGGACGTGGCTGTTGTTCTGCTGAATAGACCCATGTTTGGAAAAAATATTGGTACTTTATCCTTGTGCAGTACGCCATTGACTCCTGGAAGGACCCTGGTCGTTGCCGGCTGGGGCATGACGCATGCGGATGATAAAGATCCGGAAAATTTGTTGCGAACGGTTTCGGTGCCCGTGATTGAAAAGAATTACTGCCGAGAGGTCTATAAACATGCAGGTGAGTCGACTATTATATTTAAATTAAAATGTAATTACTTATACAAATTTTTGTTTTAGCCGAAATAACAGACAGCATGTTCTGCGCATCAGTCTTGGGAAAAAAGGATGCCTGCACTTATGATTCAGGAGGTCCACTAGTTTACAAGAAAGAAGTCTGCGGCATTGTGTCTTTTGGTATTGGTTGTGCCAGTAAGAAGTATCCTGGTGTCTATACGGATGTAAATTATGTAAAGCCGTTTATTGAAAAAGGCATTAGTGCATTGCTGTCACGTCGTACTAGACCCAGACGAGGTTGAGGTTGAGGTTGCTCCCGTTTAATTCTTAACTGAATGAGTTTCCTTTTCCTCCTCTTCCTTTTACAGTTACAAATAATTTAGCTACGCAATTCGACTCCATCACTATCGTCATCTCATTCACTCCCACACACTTAGCAACTCGAAGTCGACATTCAGCAATAGGTAGCTTTGTCTTACTTACTTGCATATCATTAAACTGATCTGTTCTTTCTCGTACTAGCATAACATAAGAAAGTACCGAACTACGAACCAACTAGATATGAGAGGCACACAACAGCTGTTAAATCGTACAAAATAATAACTTACATTTTCTTTCACTGTACCGGTATGCAAAACATTTTTGTTTTCTTTATTTTGTTAATACGACTTTCCATTCTCCAGCCAAATGTACAGTGGCTCCAAGCTTATTTCGTGCAAGAAAAAATCGAATTTTTAATTTGATACTGCTACTAAACCAGCAGAGGTATCAAAAAAATTTAAACGCAGTAATGTTAAGAATGTCGCATATTATTAAAATAATAACAAAAGTTTTTACTAATTTAAAAAACAAAAGAATTTTTCATACAAAAACTAAAAAATAGGGCAGCTCCGACGCACAAGCTTATTTCGTGCAAGCACTTTAACGGTTAATAACTCTAAACTAGGACTTTTAAATCCATTTTTTTTTCTTAATACTAGTAAAAATATATTAACAAAAGCATATTTATAAGTTTTCGAGGCTGGGGCACCAAAATTACGGATTAACGAGGATTTTCAAACTATTGCGCCACGAATAATAGTCAATAGTTTGTTGAGCAAAGCGAATTAGTCCTTAAACATTTTAAGGATGGGAAAACCCAGGAAATGGTTGCCTCAAGCCCTAGTACAAACCCATACATAACCCAAACGCTTTTTTACGAAAATCGGGGGGCAGAAAGGGGCGGTAATGCACCGAACAAAATTTTTAATGACCAGGAGGAGAGACGTATTGTCCCAAAAAGTGAAGGGAAAACCCCAAGCTATCGGCTCCAAAAATAGTTGAGGAGATCGAGAACGAAATGGGCAAAAAATGTTGCCCAGGTACAGTTCGGAACATTTTACAGAACCATAACTTTAATGGTCGAGTTCCTAGAAAAAAGCCCTTTATAAGTGCTAAAAATAAGTTGGCGCGCGTCAAATTCGCCAGGGAACTTGAAAGTAGTCCGATTTTGGTCTGGAACGACGTTATGTTTGTGGACGAATGTCCTAATGTAATATATTTGGGTTCCAGATGAGGAAATATGTTTGGCGGCGTCCCAATACAGAGCTACATTCAAAAAACAAAAAATCAGCGGCTAAGCACGGCGGTGGTCATGCTATAGTTTGGGCATGTATTACTGTGTCCGGCGCCGGAAATTTGGTTTTTATTGACGGAATCATGGATGCCAATAAATATTCAACTATTTTGAAAGAAAATTTGGTACAAAGCTTGGGGTTTTCCTTCACTTTTGGGACAATACGTCTCTCCTCCTGGTCATTAAAAATTTTGTTCGGTGCATTACCGCCCCTTTCTGCCCCCCGATTTTCGTAAAAAAGCGTTTGGGTTATGTATGGGTTTGTACTAGGGCTTGAGGCAACCATTTCCTGGGTTTTCCCATCCTTAAAATGTTTAAGGACTAATTCGCTTTGCTCAACAAACTATTGACTATTATTCGTGGCGCAATAGTTTGAAAATCCTCGTTAATCCGTAATTTTTGGGTGCCCCCAGCCTCGAAAACTTATAAATATGCTTTTGTTAATATATTTTTACTAGTATTAAGAAAAAAAAATGGATTTAAAAGTCCTAGTTTAGAGTTATTAACCGTTAAAGTGCTTGCACGAAATAAGCTTGTGCGTCGGAGCTGCCCTATTTTTTAGTTTTTGTATGAAAAATTCTTTTGTTTTTTAAATTAGTAAAAACTTTTGTTATTATTTTAATAATATGCGACATTCTTAACATTACTGCGTTTAAATTTTTTTGATACCTCTGCTGGTTTAGTAGCAGTATCAAATTAAAAATTCGATTTTTTCTTGCACGAAATAAGCTTGGAGCCACTGTATATAAAATTAAATGGCACAACAGTTTGGGAGTTAATTGTTGTCATTATGTGTAAGTTTTTGGGACTTTCGCGCCAACACTCATTGGACCATGGTCCACTGACCATCGAAAGACCAACCACCATCCTTTGGGCCATTGCGTGCAGGCGGCAGTCGGCAGCTCCTTGCTGATCATTGACTGATTCCATAATTGATTGGATGCTGGGATGCTGGGCCCAAAAAAAAAAAACTGATGGTGGGTCTCTTACTCTTCTGGCCGTGGGGCACAATTTTTTAGAAACGACGTCCCAAAGACTTGAGTACTTTTACTTTTGCCTTGGCCAGCACATCGAAAATGTAAATTAGCCAAGCGAGTTCGCTAAAAAATTGGGGCTACCAAAAAAATTTATGTGGCAGTTTGAAGATCGCATGACTGACGGCCTTTCGTCCTGCTGGAGCTGCGTTTTCGAATTAGTTTAATAATACAATTAATTGTTATTTATAGCTTCCTTTGCGCATCAGAAACGCAGCGTTTAAGGCTCCAGATCTGCTGGGCCAGACGTTATTTTATGGCACGCAAGGGCCAATTTGATGGCTGGACAGGTAGACGGTATGCATATATAGAACTGGCTTAACGGTTCTCAGCTGGGCCTAATGATAGACTTTGGCCAAGTTAGTTGTGATGTGGGTGAGGGATAGCAGTCAGAGGAGTAGGAGAAGAAGAGACGGCTCCTGGAGTGGCTCCTTCCATTCCTGCGCCACAGGATATTCTTCATTGGAGTGTACAGAAAGCCACCATAGGCCACATAAATATGCCCAGAAATGACACTTTCCAACCCTTCCCGCGGTGCTGGTTCGCATTAAGTTTATTTATCTGCTTTTAAATGGCATTTTCACTTGCATATAATTCTCCTCGTTCTCCCATGTAATGTGCAGTGGAAACAAAGGCAACATAATGTAACAGCCGCCATCAGAGCACGAAGGAGATGGCCAGATACTCCAGACTCCTTCTGCACTCCATGACTACCATTTACCACTACTATTTTTAGTAGTGTCATAAATTTATGGCACATTGTGGCAGCGGCAGTGGCTAGGCCTCGACTTGGCTCACGTGGAGCAGACTGGAGAAGCTAGTCTGGAAGGAAAAGGAGCTGAAATCGACATGCAAAACAACATGCTAGCTGGCACCTACTTTTGCCCATACATAAGATTTACCGATGATGTTGTCGGGGAAATGCAAACCAAACCGAACGTATCCATGCCATTTGCCAATCAAACAAATCAAACAAATCAAATAGGTAGAGCGGATTCGGTTACATCAGTTTTATAGATCCCATTTCGGATCTGTTAATTAAAAGATACACACGTACCTTCAATAGAACAGAAAGACAAACAAATCTTTGGGACTGGGTAAACATAGTGGATCAATAGCGGCACTCTGTGAGATACATATTCTTGGTTTTACGATGCGCTCACTGTTTTCGAGTGTTTGACTGGCTTAAAAGCCAATAAAATTTGTTGTTAATTGTTTTGGTAAATTGAAAATTAGGTTTTGGGAAAAATCATCGCTCAAGTATGCATGGAACGAGTTCAGGTCTCTCGAATTTCGTATCAGGGGTTTCCAGTTTTTATGTCTGTTTGCCCAGCGCATTAACTTGGCCACTTTTAATGAACTTTGTGAGTGGAACCCATCTGCCGCCATACGATCGAACGGTCATCAGCGGTCTTAGCCCTTTCCAAACGAGACAAATCGAATCGTTTTGCCGAAACCGAGCTGAACTTTAATCGGCTTAAATGTAATTTAACTTATTTCTATGACTTTTACCACCATTCCTCCTCCTCCTTCTGGCCAGGCAGAAATCGGTTAATTAAAGTTGTACAAAGTTCCAAGCCGATTTCATGCCGCGTTGAATCAACAAATTGTAAACTTTTCCATACTATTCCATACTAACTGTGGATTGGAGGTGGAGGAGGGTTTGGAGCAGCGGGAGGGATTTTGTTCAAGAAAAAAGGGGCCATCATTTGTACTTACTTAAGTGCTTGATCATGCTGATATCATCACCTGGCAACTTTCCTTTGTGCCCTACGTACCCACAATGCAATTAGCGGGGTCTGTAGACGCCAGGTGGTCTCCAGTCTCTACCATCTCCACTCTCATCGCCCGCAATCTTAAATCGAAAATCAGTAAGAACCAGTGAAGAAATAAATACAAGGAATGTAATTTGTATTACATTATGGGTGCAGCAAGATTGCTTAGGGCTTCGAGTCGAAATCGATGTGCTCTTCCTTGCGATTATCAGTTCTATAAACACTTATATACCCTTCTATGCGATTCGCAAAATGTTTAGATTAGTAAAAATTGTTACCGCTTAGGGAAAAGTTTCACTGTTTTATTAAATCATTTACTTTTATTGTTAACTAACTTCCCTTCCAAACTCATATACCTCATCTTAGAGCATCTCAGCCTCAAAAAAATCGAACCGCTGTGTTGACAGTTATTGATCGATGATATTGAAAACCCAATGTTGAAATTAATTTTTATTTAGCTCTCTGTTTTTTGGACTTTTCTATGATCTGTTGCCTTCAATTGTACGAACTCATTGTGTTGATTTGTAATTGACTTTTATTTTGACTTCAGCGTTTGGTCTAATGAGTCCGCTTAAGCTGCTTCTAATGCAGTGGACTTCCCCGTTTCCATTACCATTTTCCACGTTTTTCCTCCATCGGTTTCCTTTCAAAATGTCTGACAGAGAGAGAGAGAGCTCAACGTTCCAGTAAGTGACACTGACTAATTCGGAACCATTAATCTCGGAGCTGCTTAGCGTCAGTCATGCTGGTCGGGCAGCCATCAATACGCATCAAAATCGAATGCGAATTGTGCATGTTTACACGGATGGAGATGCATGTACAGCTGAGGTCAGCTGACTAGGGTTAAAATATAAAAAAAGTATTCAAAAAATCAATTTGATAGTAAATGAATGAAGGAGTATGAGAATGACTTTAGATTTATAGCTTGTAATAGTTTTATAATTTGTATTTGTACTTCCAATTACTATTATTTTGACTGCAACTGTGGCTTTACAGACTCCATGACGAATGTGCGACCGCTGCGTCTCGGTTGGGTGTCGGTCGTTTGGTGTCTCTGATTTGCCTTCATTTCTAAGCCCAGTATGCCGTACCCAGTACTCAGTGCCCATTCCGATTCTCATAGACGGGTCCACAGCCCATTCCCGTTTCCCATTTCCGCGGACATTCGAGGCGAGTGCGGTTGTGGACCTGGGACATGGACGTGGACGTGAATCTGGACGCAGACGTGGACAAGGCGTGCAATCAAGCCGCGTGTCTGGCAGTCAACTAGTCACTCACTTTGGCCAGAGAGACTGCGTCAGTCCGTCAGTCAAATGCTCGCTTTAATTTCGCTTTACTTGCGATTTGCAAAGGCACGTGGAGAAATCTAGTTATGAGATTGATTAGGTTAGCTTCAGATATATATATTGAATAAATTTAAAAGATATATCTACATACTATATCCTTAATAAGATGTTCTTTCTTCGATAGAATTATAGACCCCTCTATGATAATAGTCATCATTTTTAAATATATATTCATGTTTCATTCAAGGTAAATACCACTTTTTGAACTTTTACCAATAAATAATAACCAATATATACAAATATTTTCCAGTGTATAGCTGCATGAGTTGCTGGAGTTGCTGCATGACTACCGGGCATAATTTCTGCCCGACCGAACGAAATATGGGACCGAAATGAACACATTGCCAGGTTGGCGGCTCTGCGCACGCGCACAGTTGTTGGCCAGGCTTGAAGGAGCCCCTCTTCGTGAATCACTCCTCTGCCTCACCCTGCATCAACACCCACTCCCTTCTGCATCCTCCACATAGCAATCTGCGGTTCGTTTTGGCCTGGCGACACTAGTAACCGCAGGGCGACCGGCGCAGCCCGTTTTCGATTAACGATGACCATGGTTGAGGACGAAGACGAGGACGCGGATGGAGGCAACTTGAGCGTGTGCCAGCCAAGCGAAATGCGAAATCACTTGAGGAGCTAGAGCTAGGATACACTTTAAAGAACTAGTTATAGTTCTTATATGATGATAATATGAATAATATCAAGCTTGGTAAAAGTAAGGAAAATAGGAAAATTTAATAATTAATGGTAGGGATAATGCTTAGTTTTTTATTATTGAAGTTTTCTTTATCATATTTTTTTATGAATTTATTGGCCAGTGTAAGTCCAAGTTGAGTACTGAGTCCGCGGCAACGCCTTCGGTTTACATTTTACAATCCTAACAAGGTTAGGCCGGCCGATAAACGGAGCTGCACTCGTTTGGTTATAAGGCTAGGCTGTGATCTGGGCTTTCCAGCTGAAGTTGGGGTCTGGGGATCGGAACTTGGTGCTTGCAGCTGGAGGAGCTGGAGGTGGCACATGCCTAACCAGCAACCAACCACGCTGCTATGCAAACACACACATACTTGAAGCGGAATGGTGGCCATGGCTACGAGCTGTACCTACGGAATTGCACATTAAAAATGAGCAATGGGAGTGGGCGGTGGGAAGTGGAGTGGAGGACAGTGAGTAGGTTTTGTGGGTTTCGTGGGGAGCGAGCGGTTGATTCGAGCCGAGCGATGTCTTTTTCTGTGGCAGAACAAGGTTGGCCTGGCCTGCGATGCCGCTACCAACGTCGCTGTACTGGAAAAAAACTGTTAGAATATTATTTTAACTTGATTTTTAATTTTTCTTATAATTTTAAAGATAATTAATTTAAAATGATTTCATTTTAGTTGAGTATTTTTGAGAGCTGAGTAACTCTAAGCTTAGTACTCCTGAATCTATTTCTTAATAGACTCATCGAACTTTCTCGCAGTGTACCGTCGACTCTGTTTAATGCAATTCAGGCGAAAGGCGCACAAAGGGACAGCGAACAAGATGCCGAGTTGCTGATTGTGCGGGCAGCGCAGCCAACGATGGCAGAGGCAGCCGCAAGAGCTTTTGTCGCCGCCACAAACATGGAATATGACAAGCTGGTGAGGAGCAGGATGGGTTTGGAATGGGATGGGATGGGATGGGATCGGGATGAATGGGTAGAGAGCAGCAAGAGGAGGAGGAGGAGCAGCGGCAGATACTGGATGGTTGCCCGGCATGCAAAGCATTGTCAAGTGGGGAGCAGGCCAAGTGCTACACAAAAACCAAGCGACAAAGAAACGTCGCAGAACGCTGCCGACGCACGTGAGATGTGGATGCATTTGATACACTTAGCGAGAAATGGGGTATGGAAATTTATAGATTAATATATAATAAGGTACAAGGTTACTGTTTTTAGTTTATGTTTATTACTTTGCTTTATAATTATTTTATATACATTTTATACAATGGAATATTTTTTCCAGTGTCAAATTATAGTGCGTTTCCTTGTTCAGTGCTCTAATATTTATTAAAATTCTAAATGCTAATCAAAAATTCCAGAATTATTTTCCAAGTTTAAAATTTGAGTGTATGTTGGCTACCCTGTGTGGGCAGGGTAAAAAAGCAGCAAGGAGAAAGAGAGATGGAGAGAGAGCAGAGACAATGGCGACAATAAAAATGCGATCGCACAACATGCTCCACAGATAAGTTAACGCAAAGTGACAACGTACAACTTTTAATGGAATTGTCGTCGCCGAGGGGCGGCGAGGCGTGGCACGGGAGGGTTATACATATGACATAGCCAAGGAGTCACCGCATTTGGAGCGCTGCCAGCTCAGTTGAGCTATGTTTACTTAAAGGATACGTATGCCAACTGGCAAAAAGGAACCTTCAAAGGCGGTCGTATAGGATTGCAACTCCAATTCCGATTCTGATCAGAAGTGGGCGGAACGGGGAACAACACACACGAGCACGAAAATTGCCTTCGGCTGCTACTGTGGCACAAGCTAAAGAGAGTGAACGAGATCGAGAGAGAGCGTCGGAGAGGGAGAGCTGCGATCAATGAGAGCGCCAACTGCTCCCATTGGAAAATTGCAGTTGCAGCGGCCCACGCTTCCAATTGGAGCAGGTCTACTATGCTCTGGATCTCTCTCTCTCTCTCTCTGGCTTGCTCTCTTCTTACTGGTCTTTCTGGTTTTTGTTTTGTTTACGATTTTCGCTGGAATTGCTGGAGAGCAGAGCCGCAAAGCCAACTCAAAACGCGCTTCCACAATCAGTTGCTTTCCAAGCTTGCAACAAGCAAGACGTCAGTGCGCGCGTGTGTTTTGAAAACAAATTCGTATAAGTTCGAAAATTTCGAATAACTGAAAAACACAAAACCCCTTTGGCAAAATAAGAACGAAAAATCAAATAAAGGAATAAATATAGATAAAAACCTAGTGATCGAACCGAGTGGTTTCGATGTGCGCGTAGTGGCCGGTGATCGTATGATGAGCCTGACTGTGCTCTCACTGCCTCAACGTTTCAAGCGAATCCTGCAAGCCATGATGTTAGCCGTCGCCGTTGTCTATATGACTCTATTGCTCTACCAGAGCGCCTACGGATATCCGGGCATCCAAGTGAGTTCTGAACATCGAGTGGGCGATATATAGTATGCGTCCAATGCGTGGGTGTTTGCTTAAAACTCTGCAAGAAAAGAAACTGTCATACGTGTGTGTGCTTGGTGATCTGCATAAATTGCAAAAAAAAAAAAAAGGCCAGACAATTTGCATTGAATCCCCTTGAGTCCCGATACCCGATTCTCGATCCCGATCCCTATTCCGATCGTTGAAGACTATACAACGACGACGATTCGTGCACTTTCATAAATCAACGCCGGCGATTTGACTTTTGCAGCTGCGCATGCGTCCGACGTCCGGCTTTGGCCGTTAAAAAACCTTTTACGCCCTTGCCTTGCATATAAAACAGTTTCGGTTCTTGGTTTTTTGCACTTTTTATACCCTTATAGGGGGTATAATAATTAGGTTTAAATGTTTGCTGAGAAGTTTCTTAAAAGGTTATATACTTTATAGAGGGTATTAGCGGTAAAAAGTCTTCTAGAAGATATAGTTAAATCGATAGATCTTAATACACTTTTTTTAGGTTCCTAGGAGTATTTTCTGCTAACAAACAAAACCTCTTAAGTTAGAAATCTTATACTTATTTGTTTGATCTACCATTTAAAAGCTAGATTATCCTTCTTAGAATGATCACTATCTCAAGATCTTAAACATAGCTCTCTGCGGAACAATAACTCCCCAAGAGTATACCAACTTTCGATACCCAAAGCAACATCCAATCTTTCTTGCATTATTTTTTTTTTTGCCGTCGGCAGAGCGTCGCCAAAGCTTTCAGTTGCCCGATTCCAGGGCCTGTCAGGGTTCTGAGCCCTGTCTTCTCTCCCCATTTATTATTGTTCTCCTTTTTTACTTTTCCCCTTTTTTTTTTGCATAAATTTTTGTGTAATAAAATATTGTGTGCTAATATTACGAACGTGAGGTTAAGAGAGAGGTGGAGAAACCAAGGAGGTGGCAACGTCCAGTGGATCTCCTTGTCAGTGGCATCATAGATAACAAATAGTTGAGGTCCGTGGGAATTGGCTTACAAACGCCTCATGTTGCAGCCAAAAATAGTAGGAAAATTTGAGTTCTAAATGTGATGGCATTCCTATGAAAGCTTAGGGTTAGGTTTTCTTGATTTCGGGATATAAATAAGGATTTCTTGGATTTTTAGATTTCTTTAAAAGTATTTGATAAAGAAGTAAACGCATTGATAGACATTGAACTCTCTTTTTCTTCCAATCAATTAATAATTTTTAACATTATTTTAAAGCTCTTTAAACCCTTAAATTTCACTTAAAAGTTGCACGTTGCACTCTCAGTTTATATAGAGATAAATATCCCTTTCTTTGACTCGGACATTTATGGGCCGAAACTTTGCCTTCGATGATCGGTAATCCAGGCTTTGCAAACTTCAACACTTTGCCCCTGGCAACGGAGTTTTCCAGCTCATAATTGAATCAACTCCTGCATCCTCAAAAGTATCCATGTAAAATCCACTTCCTCCCCTCCCCCTGTCTAAAATTTACCATCTTCCGGTTCCTCAATTTGCAACTCAATTGCTCAACTTTGGGGCTTCTGTGAGTTTGTGGCCCTTCCTCGCTCTGTAATGTTTTCGCATGCTGCTTCTAGTGTAATTAAAAACTTTATGTTGTTTTAATTCGGACAATGTTGTTGGTTGTTATTGTTGTTGTTGCTGCTACTGTTGTTGTGGATCTTCCAGTTGCTATATTTTTGTTGTTACTGCAGTGAAGTCTAACCGGAAACCCGGCAGAAATTAGTGCTACACACATCGCACTACTAAATGCTGAGCCGGATTAAAAAAAAAGAACGAAAAAAGAAAAACCAAGAAAAACTGCCGACAACTGCCTTGTTGGACTTTTCAATTGGACTTCTTCCATCGGAGGTCTGTGACTTGTCCCAGTTAAAAAATAAATATAAAAAAAAAACTGCATGTTATGTAGAATTTGCTTAATTCTTTTTTTGTATTTTATTTATGAGTGTTCTTCATTCTTTTTGTTCCTAAAATATTGCGCAAAATGTGGCCGTTTGTTGACTTGGCTTGGCTTGATTCTTCGAACTGTGGAACAGTCGACTGGACACATACTAAACTGGGTTTGGCATTCGGCTGATAAAGCAATAATTTCGAAATTAGCTGTGGGGTTTTTGGGGGGGCTAACAACCCCACCTTTTTCCAAAGTTTCCAAGTATTCCATGTCCCATGTCCAGTTTGCAACTCACGTCGCCAGGTCGCCAGCCATGTCGCGTGTTGCTGACGCATAAATCATAAACGAAATGAATAATAATCGTCAAACGATTTGGTTGTTTATGAATTTGTTTAAAGTGGCGCGCCGAATGGCCATCAATCGCTGATTGATTCGAGTAGTTTCTTGGGGATACACTGA